CCGGGAGGGCCCACCTGACCGACCCCACAACCCGCCTGGCCCCGCCGAGTCCGCGGTCCCGAGGCCACAGGTCCGGGGGCCAGCTGCCGGCCGGCTCCCTAGTTCCCTGGCCGTGACAGCGGCTCCGGGCTCCCACTTCAAAGCGGGGCCAGAGGCTGCCTTACCGCAAAGATCCCAGTGTAACCCGATGCCCGCGGTGGAGGCGGGCACAGCGTCCTCATCCTGCCGCCCACCGGGCCTCTGCCAGCTCCCTGTTTACTCCCCTGGAGATGCCCGGGCAGGCGGGCGGGAGTGAGGGGCTGGCCGGCAGGGCCATCTCTCTCTCCAGAACTCAGGAGCTCCGATAAGCCTGGCATTTCCGCTTATCTGCCCCGGCCCCGGCCCCGAGGCGCCCGGCGTCACTGTTATCAGCTCTGCTGGCTGTCCCTCTCCAGGGCCCACTTCCTGCATCGCTTAGCGGGGTGTCCAGGGAAACAGACCCCCTGTGGTCCCAGGAGGGGAGAGGCGATGGGGGGGAGACTAGAAGAGGGGAAGAGGGGAGGAGGGGAGGAAGGAAAAAGGGGAGGAGGGGGAGCTTGAGGGCCCAGTGGACCTGAGTTCAGACCCCAGGGGCCTGGTGCGGGCCCAGGGGCTGCGCTGGGTCTGGGGGTGGCTGCTGCAGTGGACCTGGGGCAGCGGGGGCCTGACCAGCCACACAGTCGAGAAGAGGAGGGGCTGAGCTGAGTGGTGAAGAGTCAGGAGGGGGGAGGGGGGTAGTCAGGAGGGAGCAGGTCGGGAGAGATGCGAGAGCAAGGAGAAAAGGAGGGGTGGGCAGCCCTGGGCGGGACAGACTGGCCACTGGGAGTGTGTGGGGGGGAGCGGCATCGAGACGGGGCGTCCAGGGCTCCCACACTTTGCAGTCACCCAGGCCCACGGTGCCAGCTCCTTCCGGTGTGGGCGGAGGTGAAGACATTGGAGAACCTTTTGGCAAAGAGGGAGGACTTCCTGGAGGAAGTGGGACTTGGGCTGAGCCTGCAGGGAGAGGTGTGCTGTGGGGAAGCCACAGGGAGCCACACCCCACACGGAGCCGGCACAGAGGGGCCCTGGGGGGCTGCAGA